ATAATTAATTCTAAATTAATTATTGATCAATACTAACTAAATATTATTCTTTTTATTATTAATATATTAGAACTTATAATATATTAATAAACCATAAGTGTCTTATTTCTCTCATTTAGTCTATCCAAGTGCATGATGCCATGCAACCCAAATGGACCATGCTGTTTGGGTCAAGTACATACTAAATATAGTTATGGACTTAGACACTATATCCAACATTCCTATCGTAACCTAAGGAAGAGCGTGGTACTTCATGCCTAGGTACTTCTGATCCTTGATGCAAGGTACAATTCGTAGGTTTGTGTCGGATTTGTCATCATAGATAACAAGGGTTTTGTTATTTGGTAAGTTAAGTTGAACGGCCTTTTCATAACATACATTATTGGTATAGTGAGGATTTAACCAAAACAGGTAAATGGTTGCGTTGAAGTTTCCTATTGTCACTGGTATTAGGTCGATTTAAAAGGAATGTTTGCTTAGAGTTAGTGTGCATCCTAGGTAGGTGTTATGGGTGGTTTCGGTTCTTCCCCGAGCCATCTCTACCAAAAATATTTTCGTGAATGCTTGGGATTTTTGTTTGAGTATGTATTTATACTTTGTGACTCACGAGTCTCCTCTCCACACCCCTATTGTAAAGTGTGCATGCATGTGATTTATTTGAGGAGAAACGTACCAGTAACCACAGTGGGGTCCCTCGTCGCGTCCTCAGGTCCCGTTGTTGAAACTCTTCCCCTGTCTCCAACGTTGTTGTTATTGGATTTTGGGCACTCCTCTAGAAATGTCCCATTTCTCAGCATCTATAACAAGCATGGCCCAGTCTAACATTAGTGGATTGGGTGGTCTGTTGAGTTGGCATCCTACAAAAGCGAACGTTATGCAATTTTTTTGTTGCAATTCCTGCAACGCATCTCTCGGCAGGATCCGTTGTGATGGAGGTTGCACTTGTGGCATTCAGGTAGGTTTCCAGCATATGGTTTCGTCGGCACTGAGGCAATAGGGGTAGTGGTGGTATGGGCTAACACAATTTGTTGTCTTTTGGCAGGTTCCTGAGTCGAGCGACCCTTTTTTTTGTTCCAGAACTTTTGTTTCTTGGGTAGTACTCCTTTATTATCGTGGGAGTTCTTAGGTTTGTAATTTGGGGTGTCCTTGCAGGAACACACCCGTTAGTGTCCTTGGTTGCCACCATGATTGGAACTGTTGGCACCGTTCTTGATTTCGTTTGCATTGCTAGTGCTAAGTTGTACCATGACAGCTGGCACAACGGCTGTTACAGCAGCTTGAAATGTATCATGGTCCGTTTGTAGAACTGGTGTTGCGCCGGTATGCTAGCTACTTCCGCGTTGCAGCATGATTATGTTGTATGGTATGAAACGAGTTTGTAAGTAACTATGGTCGCTGCTAGTTGTATCCTATCTACATTTATATTTATATTCATACGAACTACATGTTTTGATGTATGATTCCCAAATGTTTCGACCAACATCATAATGTACTTACGGTAGTAAGTAGTAGTAGGTATTATACAAACGTTAAGTTATCAAAACATAACCTAGATGTTAAAACATTAAGTTGATTCGGGGTACACTAGCTTTGGAGGGCGTATCTCGCTTGATTTACTACCACTGCTGTGATATAAAACGCAATAAGTCCAAAACATAGTGGAATTAGCGTAGTCACTAACTCGCTAGGCTATACTAGTCTATCATATGCCACGGTAACGCACAAGGTACCCCGCCACCTCAAACATGTTGTGAGTGGCGTCCTTTGCTATGACTGCCCTATCTTCAGTTGCGATTACTCTCTCCTTGAGAGTCGTGTGTCTCTCCCGGTACTCCCTTGTTATGCTTGTGCGGTGGTGAGGTCCTCATGGAGGGGATCAATGAGATGGAATGTCTGGGGTAGTCCCTCTCTAGTAGTCGAGTGTGTGCGTTAGTGGCCTCGGCAGCGGTCCCTAGCTCCATGATCCGATTCACCGACGCCCTGGTCTGATCTCTGAGATGCAAGATTTGCTGACCCATGACAGGGAGGGTCCTGTCTGTCAGTCCCCCATGGCTAAGGTTATAGAAACGTCGTTGCACGTCGTAGGGTGAACGCTGGTGTTGCTGCCTACTCCATCTCTCCAGCTCCTCTGCCCAGCGGGCCGTGGGTCCCTGATAGCCCAGACGATGTGCGAGAACACGAGCGACGTTGGGTGGATTAATGACTTCGGACTCTACATCCGAGTCCTCCTCTTCTTCTTCCTTGTCTACTTTTTCCTCCTCCTATGGATCCTCTTCGGGCTCTTCTTCCACTATCTGCTCAGGATCCTCTTCGATCCATCTGTCATTTCCCTGGTTAGGGAAATAGGGGTCTCTGGGCATGTTAAATCCTACCATGATATATGTGCGAGAATAGAGATATGAGAAATACATGAAGGGTTTAAGTGTGTGATCTTCCACTATCTGCTCAAGATCCTCTTCGATCCATCCGCCATTTCCCTGGTTAGAAAAATAGGGGTCTCTGGGCATGTGAAATCCTGCCATGACATCTGTGCGAGAATAGAGATATTAGAAATACATGAAGGGTTTAAGTGTGTGATCCTATAGTATTCTAAATTACTCCTATTGTATTTTTGATCTTTATGTTTGATTCTAGAGTTTCTTGGTGTATAGGGTTGGTAAGTTTTAGATTCGTTGCCCACCATGACCATTCCTAAAGATATGTTGGTCATATCTCATATAAATATAGTTGATCAGACTATATTTATCCCAGATATGATTACATAACTGTCCAGGCTTAATCGTAGTGTTTAACTCCTCTAAATACTTTTTATATGGTTCTTATTATGACACTGCTTCTAGTATGTAGGTATGTACGTATACTTTTTATATAAATACTATTATATTTTAATAGTATATTTTTTTAATCAGATTTTTTTAGCCTCATTGTATTTATAGTTGTATGTCTTACATGGTTTGATATACTTAGTTTACTATAAACAATTCTTTGATACCAATTTATCACACCCCCAAACCAGAATGGCGGAAACGTCTGGGGGTGGATGACTTCATGTACAGTATCATAACAAATGAATAGTAGTGATCACATCATTACAACCATTGTATTTAATATTTAATAAGTTTACATTGTACTAAAAAACATTGTCTACTTGACATCAAATGTATAAGACAAAAATAAGTAACGAGATGCGACGACGCCTCATCCTCTAAACCTCTTTGAATACCTATTTACTGATTTCCTAAGAATAAAAGTGATTTTGAAAAGTGTCAACAGTTAAGTTGGTGAGTTCATAAGTGTTTGTATGAGAATGACTTGTAACCGTTTCATGAAAAATGATAGTGTATATTTTCAGAAAATCCAATATTGTCTTTAAAAATGAGTTGTAAGTCTTAAAACCCAATACTAAAAATGTAAGTAATGTTGTACTGAAAAATGGTGTTATGAAGTTTTGTATTTATATAAAACTACTTGAATGTATGTTTATCCCATAAACCAATTGTTTGTTAATACCCTGTGTGAGTTATTATAACCATACTAATGTGACTAGTGGCTTGAACGACGTTCTTCAGGCGTCATAATTGTTATGACATTTGTCACCCTAGACTGGCCGGTCTAACTGTAGCTAACAACTGAGGTGCGGGGTTGTCAATCATGTATAGATCTATACACAGGTGTCACGCTCTCCCTATAAGAGACTCTGGTTATAATGCAGGACTTTAGTGTGTACTCTGGTAGGTACGGTGAAGCCAAATGTATCACAACTAGTATCATCCGATTTACATGAACTGAGAACCCCTTTTCTTGTAAATGAAATAATTATACCTTTAAATAATTATATGTTTCTTCTGAAATGATAGTGTAGTATTTGTGACCCATAAACTATATCAATTATAGTTTATTATGAATGTTTTGTCAAGTACATTTATATAATGAAATATATAAACACATTTAAGTTATCATGTCTAGATATTTTAAAAGCTTATAACATATAAACTTACATCTAAACACAAGGATAAAACATTTAGTATGATATAGACAATTTTCTAGTTTTTGACTTTTCTCTCCATGTTTTTAGAAAAATTATACATCGTAAGTCGAAATTTGGATCCTTAAACTCTCAGAGCTTAGAAAATGAGTCTACTCTGTAAATTCCTTGCAGGTCAACTGGATCAAAAGTAGTAAATTCCTTGCATATGAGATAGTAACATAGTAAATGGTGACATTTGATACCCATCGACATGTTCATGTAATCACCAAAATATGATTGCGTAAACATCACCCCACAAACTGGTCGGTTTTGTAAGCGCACCATAATTCCGCGCCCAAATTTAGGTTTGCAGGTTGTAGTAACAACCGTTTCGTATGTTCTATCGTGCTACAATCAAAATAATTATTAATTACGGATTTTTGTATGTACGTTCTCGAACGGGATTTCGGACAAAAAAAATCCGGAATGGTAGTCCGGACCAAAATTCCGGAATTGGTTCCTTGTATTCTGGAGAGTTCTACATATTTCAGACATGATTTTCGGATTCCAAACACGTTCGAGAATACCGAAAATTAGGAAATGATAACAATTTATGATATAGTATAATGTATAAGTACATGTAATCTTGTAATTGCATTAACACAATTAAAATTCATAGAAAATCTTATAATACATTTATAATTGCATAAACTAAACATGGTTTAAGGTATAATATAAAATAAATGTGTATAACCATAAACAAAGTTGAAACTTACATAAAAACTGCATTTCTTCATTGGTAATCAAAAACAAGGAATTATATTGGTAATCAAAAACAAGGAAACAACAAAATCTAGCCTTAAATGGGTTAAAGGGTATTTTTAGGAGAACCAGATTACCGGATCAGAATTATATACCCGTTTACCATATATTAAATCAGCATTCCAAACCACTTGGGTTGTGGTGACTTGGTAAGACATGTGAAAGATATGGTGGATAACCTATTGACCGATGTTCAAATCCTGACACCACTCAGCCCTTGTGGCTATGGAGGTTCGCCTGCAGTGACTCTAAGGCATAAGGCAAAGCTTTATGTTTGCAGCGGGGGATTAATCGGTGCGCGAAAGCTGGCCCGGAAACCCTCGTTAGAAAAGTTCCCTTTCCAAAAAAAATCAGCATTCCAGACCAAGTGGTCATTTTTCAAATATATTCCAAACATTTAGCATCATCAATATTATCGGTGCAACTTCAAACAATAGAACCATTATCCGGAAACTTTCCTCAAACAGATTTGAAGGACAACACGTGATTAGATTAATCGGGGATAGAATTCAACATTTTTTGTAAGAAATATGTACACAACAATAACCAACTAAACATATTATGTGAATTATGAGCAAATGAGAAGAGTTTTATTTAACGAATAAATTTTGAAAGCTGAAAGCAACTAATACTGCTGGGACCCAAATGTGTTCTCGCCACTGTACGTAACGTATAGAAATCCATCTTCATCCTTCTTTTCATCATATATCGTTGACATAATTGCCCCTACAAACATCAACAATCAAAATCACATTAATTCAAATATGCCATAAATATGTCTAAACTCAAAACATTTATATAAATTGTGTGACAAAAATACCTGTAGGTGGAAGAACATTCTCCACGAAAATAAATATAGCTTTTTCCGCACTTAGTTTAATCCTTTTACGAATCACATACACAAACTGCCCTACAGTAAGATCAGCAGGGACAAGGTACCTGTAATAATCATATAAATAAATTTAAAAACATATGTTATGATGATCTGAGGGGTATTTACGTCTTTTGCAAAAAACACAAAAGTGGTTGTGTCGTTTGTTATGTCCTATAACAAAAGGACCTTAAACATATCAAAATCATGAGTAATAATAATACACAAGAAATATAAACATACTTCTTTTTGTCAATGTTAGGAATGTCGCTTTTCTCCGCCTTTTCCACAATCACCTTCGAGTAAAAACACAAAAGTACAAATAAGGCAAGGTTTAAAAAAATCAAATATTGTAATTTTAATAGTTTTATGTGATTTTTTTTGGGGTCTTGTTTATTGTTTATATGGTATGACAAAAGTGAATATATGATTGTGTCGCATGTATAGTCATCGACTCATTTTAAGTAATTTTTTTTCTTGGGATGCTGAAATTTTTCAATATTATAATATTAAGTTAAGATTTTTTTTTCACGTTATTGAATATTTTTATTTTCAATATAATAAGAAAAATAAAGATTGGACAAAAATAAAAGTAAAAGGTTAGCTCATACCGGAATTCTATCCGGGTATTTCTCCCTAATTCTTGAAGCTTCGGCGTGCCTCTTTGCTGAAGAAAGCAATAATTAAAGATCACATTTAATATTATAAAAGATATTATTTGATCATTATGGGTATATAAAATTTGAATAAATTATATAAAAAATGTGGACATATGAACTTACAGAATTCATGCTCTTGCTTGAAGTTGCCTTTAGCCATTTTTGTTTCAAGAACTGCAATAGACCTTGAAATATTAATTATTATGCACATCAAAAGTTATGATTCAATCCAAAAACATGCCTATGGACACTTCAAATTAAGGGAAAAAAAATATATGATCATATCTTTAAAATTTTGATGTAACGTATCAAAAAATTGAAATCTATTGTTTGTATTCGCTAATATAGCTTACAAGCAAACTACAAGCCGTTGATTCCATAACAGAAACGAATGAAAAACAAAGAGCAAATCACATATCAAAATCAAATTGAACGATCGGAATAACAAGAGAAACATGTATCGGAACAACAGCTACAGAATCTAGCTAATTACTATGATCAAACAAAAAACCCCAGAAAACCTAATTTCCGTAGATTTCAAGACGAAAGGTAGAAAACACCGATAAAAAAATCGAGCTTAGTTCCATGAACAATAAAAAAAACAGAAGAAAAGAAAACCCAATTGCATATATGTAAGTAATCAAGGAAAATCGAAATGATTCAAGACAAATATGGGTTTAGGATACATACAGCTGATGATCAGATTGAAGTGGGTAACCAAAGAGAAACTATTGAATTGGTTCTTCGAATTCGTGGAGTATCGTACCGGATTCAGAAGTATTTGAGCGAAGAACGGGGGGGAGTGGTTGCGTATTTGGGTTGAATTATTGAAGAATATAGACGATCAATTTGGGAGGGTGACTCAATAGATAGCATCAATGGAATTATTATTATTATTATATATGGTTTTTTTTGGGTATTCTCCAAGTAAATTTAAACTAATAATGTAATCCAAATGGATGGATAAACTCCCACGTCAAATTTGGATATTCTCATCGATCATCGCCGACATTATTGGATATTGATTATGATCACATTAAATTGTTGGTATTCATTTATGGTTTATATCTTTTTCTTTTGTAATATTTATAAATACCGATACCTAATCAATATGTTTCACTTTTGTTATTTGTATATAAAAAAATAAAACAATATGTAATTAATTTTTTTATTTGTTTATATTAGTATTTTGTTTATATAGAGTAACGAATTTTTTTGAATGTTCACATATGGTTAAATCTGATCATAATGCCAATATTTGAATATTCGAAAATATTCGTTACCTAAATGTGTAAAAAAAACAACAGTAACCCAAATATGAACAAATAAAAAAATTAATCATACTAATAAGTCAATCTTTTCTTTTTTATTTTACTTTTTAATTTTGATTTGGTATAAAATTTAACCTAAATAGTAAATATTTTTAAAACAACATCATTTTGGTAATATTTTTTTAAAATACACTATTTTGTTTAAAAAAAAAAAAACTCTGGATTTAACATGGAAAGAAAAGATATCATCGTTTTATAGAATTGTATTGTTTAAGATATTGAATATGAAAAATTTAAATTTACTAAAGTATCAGAAATGGAGACCAATAACATATAAAAAAAATTAAAAATTATTTGATGAGTTACAACTTAGAATATTGTTAATAGAGTTTTAAATTTTGATTTGCAGTTCATGTTATGGTTTTCAATTGATCTGGTTCTCTAATTTTTTCTCTTTGATATCAATTTTCTTTTCATACAAAGATTGTGATGTGTTGGGTTATGATGATGGAAAATTCGATGAAGAGACAGCGGGTTGTGGTATTGGTTCGCTGAAGTTAAAATATCGAAAAAAGAATGAATGATGAAGACGTTGATATTAGTAAAGATGAAAAAGAGATTGAAATTGAGGATGATGAGAGATGAAATGGTGATTGGTGGGACCCAGATTAAAATTTTCAAATGTGGTTTTAGATTTAGGATGAAAAGATACAGAAATATATGGTCTATTAAAATTTTAAAATTAATTAAAAAATAAATTAATACGGGCACAGGTAAGACAGTGACCAAACTTGCAATAAAAATAAACAATAAAGACCATCCGAATTAAAAAGAATAAGTTAGGGACCAAACACACAAATTACCTCAAACCATAGGGATCATTCATGTAATTTACTCTTACCTTTTAGTATGTTCACATCTGAATAACTTTTTTATACACATCTAAGTAATGAACTTTTTGCAAGTGTTTACATATGATCATTATGAACGGATGTAACCTACTACAGCCGGTTATAATAATGGTCATCTGTGAATGCTTTCAAAAAAATTATTACCTATATGTATATAAAAAAATAGTTGTCCAAATATGAACAAACCTAAAAGTTAATTACATTCTTATTTAAAATAAATTATGTTTTCATTCATTAAGTATATTATTAAACTATATATTATTAAAATAAAGGGAAATTGAATAACTAATATTTATAAATGAATTTTTTTTTTCATAAATAACAACTATTTTCCCGTTTTTGAAATAGGACAATTTTCTCCTAACCGCCTCATACCGAACTACTGTTCACATTTCGAACCACTTTTCAAAAAAAAAAAAAAAAATTAAGAATGCTCAACTCCAAAATGCTTCATTTTTTGTTTGATCTTCAAGTTCCGGAATTTTATTTTTACTATTTTTTTTTTTTAAATATTTTCATTTAGGTCAAAAATATTTATTTCTAAGTATTTATATAACCGTTTTTCAATAAAATATATGATTTTATGATATATATATATATATATATATATATATATATATATTTCACATTTACTATATTTGTTTAAGTTTTTATAAAATTGAAGCAAAAACAAATTTTTTTCTCAAAATTCTTGAATTGTTCTTACGAATTTCAGACTTGTTCATGAAAGTTCGGATTTTTTTTTCTGAACTCCGAAATTTTAGTCCGAAATTAGGAATGTCATTCCGAAGTTAGTAAAAAAAATATTATTTCTTGGTCTACAATGCCCCATTCCACATAAAATGGTCATTTTTAGAAAAAAAAAATGAAAAAAAGAAAAAGAAATGGTCATTTTTTTTTCAAATATACATTAAAAAGTTGTTAAATTACTCAATTTCCTAAAATTAAGTTTTTAAAAAAGATATTTAGATTAGTTCTATATTAAAACCTAATATATAAAATATTTATTAAAAATATTTATTTAAGATGACAATTAATGATAAGTTAACATATTAAAAACTTTTTATTTAATTCGATAAGTGTTTTTAATATATTTTCTATCAATCACTTAAAATTAGTTTATTATCGATAACAAACTATAATAAATCAATAAATACTTTAAATAAGCAATCACAAACATCCATTAAATATAACTTAGTATAAATCACATATTTGGTCTTTATGGTCGACAACAATCTACAAATTGTGTACATGTATTGAGAAATTGATTCCTTAGTCACTGGTTGTTGAATATCTATCGTTGTTGGTTCTTTAGCCAATTTTCGTCAATCCCCATTTGTTAAATGTTTGTAAACACCTAATTTTGTTTTTTCTATTATGTTAACATGTCTATAAACTCCGTAACTAATACTTCTTCTCATCTCAAAATAAAGAAAACATTAATTACTACTAACTTTATTAAATGAAATGACAATTGTACCCTTTTGTTCAATTTAATTTCATCATTTTATTGCATTTTATTATATGATATTTTAATTAATAATGAGAGGTATTTTGGTAAAATTAATATTTATTTTTAAAAGTATGCTATTATTTTAAAACAAATCAAAAAGGAAACATGACATATTAATATGAGACAGATGAAGTATTTATGTAGTAGTTTAAAAAGGTTGTACACAACTAAGTGGTCCGTCGATCTAGCATTTTAGCAATGGGAGATATAAACCCGCAATACTTATCTTTTCCTGTGTCTACAATGTCGTCATTTGTCTAATATCATCTATGGTGTAAACCTAATCGTTATAGCTCCATTGCTAACAACACGAGAAATAAACTGACAACGTTTATCTTTTTCTTACCTTTAGCCGCACTAGAAATAAACACATGTATCACCTCCTACACCAGTGACAGCAAAATGGAACCCATCATCTCTCTCTCACACACACATGTAACTATAGCTACCATACCCCAATCCATTTATCATTATGTTAAATTTGATTTAAAGTTTATACTAAGATTTTCAATTGTTTTTATTTATTTATTTTAGGGTATGGATTTCAATTTAGTGGTGGTGATAATATTGGTTGTGGTGGTGTCCATGGATATTTCATAATCTTACAACAACTTTTTGGATGAGGATCCAAAACCCTCAAAGTTTACCTTTTTGACCATTGATGATGTATGGAAATAGATATAACAATAAAAAAATGGAAACCTATTCTAATAAATGAATGTTTTTTTTTGTTATATTTTACACTCTCATTTAATTTGCTAAATATTATTTTGTGGTTATTTTGAATTAATTTATTTTTCACATGTCATTTTATGAGTTTTTCTAATTTAATAAATTACACATAATAGTTTAATGTAATAATTACAATAAATGTAGTAATAAATAAATATCAATTTCATTAATAAATATGTCTTCTTATTTCAAAATTCTCAAATTAAAGTTAATTAGTTAATTTTGTTTATTTAATTAAATTTAAAAGATACAAAAAAATCAATTTTATTAATTCATTATTTTTCTTATTTTTTTATAAATCTAAAGTTCTTAAATATTTATACATTTATATTTAATTTTTTTAGTTAACTCATGTAATACATGGATTTTACATCTAATGGATATAACAATAAAAAAAGATTAGTGATGTGAAAAAATAGTTATATATATATATATATATATATATATATATATATATATATATATATATATATATATATATATATATAAATTTACAACCCCTTTAGTGAACAGTACTGTGCTTTCATTGGTTGTTTGTTTTTTAATTTTTAATTTGTAAGTTTTGGTCCACATTACTTATTTATTTAATATATATTAAATATGTTTTTACAGTGCACCGCTTGTATACATTTATTTATTTATTTATTTTTTCAGCTGTGTTACATGAGACTTTTCAACTGATTCTATTCATATTTTTTATGGTCCAATGGAATCTTTCCAAAACACCAACTCCACTACTTCTCGAACCTTCCACCACCGCTCAATTCCATCTTCCCTAGCCAGTCCATCATATTCCTTTTATCTTTGCTGCTCCAAATTCCATCCAAACTCTCGGTTCCCACCGTTCACCTCACCGGTCCAAATGAACTCATATCTTCTCTCATGGTTATTCCAAATGTTCATGGTGTTGTGTGAACCATTTGAGGTATTATATTTGAGGCACTAGGCTCTTGAGCTCCATGGAATCAAGCATCAACAAAAAGAGGTATCTAATTCTACCAGTTTTATATTAGTTGTGCTTCATAATATGCTAGTTACGACAATACATTGGAAAATTGATATTTGCATGTATAATAGAGAAAACATAGATCCAAGGTATTTAGGGTTTGCATGTACACCATAGGAGTGTTAGAATGCTCAAAACCCAACATATCGGCCCACTAGTAGTTGATTATAGTTGAGATGATTATTTTTGTGATAATTGTTTGGTTTGCTACTACCTTGAATGTTTATGTGCTAGCATGATATGTTATATATGATAGTGGTAGTAGGAAGGGAATAGTCCACAAGTTTGGTTGTTAGGACAGAAGGGTAGACAGGGCACCTCAGATATGTCTGACAATATGATTATGTTATGATATGTGTCGTAGTAGTAGTAGGGGGTGAAATAGTCCCCAGGGTTCAGTTGTTAGGACCGAAGGGTAGGCCAGCACCCCAGAACTGCTTGACATGGGTAGGTCAACACCCCAAAACTGCTTGACATGGGTAGGTCAGCGCCCCAAAATGGCCAGACAGGGTAGGTCAGCACCCCATAATGGTTGGACAGGGTAGGTCGGGCACCCCAAAATTGCCCGACAGTATGTTTGTTATGTGTTATGTGGTATGTGGTATGATAGGGGAACTCACTAAGTTTTGTGCTTACGATTTTCAGTTTTGGTTTTAGGTACTTCGTTTTCAAAGAAAAGGAGTCGGCTCGATCGCAGCGCATCACATTGTGTTTTCCGCTCATGAGATATTTGGGATTACACTTTGATATTATTTTATGATAACATGTTTGATTATTGACACTTTGGTTTTGACATGAGATGTTATTATGTATGTTTTTATACTTATGGTTTTATAATAACTTATTTAAAAATGAAATTTTTGGCCTTAAATTTTGGGATGTTACATGGACAATTAGGTTGAACTATTTGGTTCGGATATTCAGATTTTTGGATTGAATTTCACCAAAAAACTTGAATTTCGGACTGGTTTTGGCTTATAAAATAAGAACCGAATAACAATTTATTATTTATTTATATATAGTATATCTATAATTATTTATTAATTTTATAAACAATTTTTTTTTTTTCAAAAGGTTTTACCTAATAAAAAAATTAATATGCATTTTCTTTTAAAAATGTTGTACCTATTAAATATTAAATTATAATATAACTTATTAGTATTTTTTTTAATTTTAAATTACAACGAAATAATTTGTTTTTTTCTTTTTAAAAATTGGATAATATTTTAATTATATATCATTATAAAATTTTATATTTTTTGACAACTGAATTATAAAAAACAATCCAACCGAATTATAATTTGACTGGATCTGATCATATTTGAATTTAGTTTGGACAATTAAGTTTTATATCTTGAAAACAAAATTCAATTTGGATTTACACAGAATAATCCTGAAAAAAAAAAAAAAAAAAAAAAAAAAAAAAAAATAGCCCAAAAAACTAATAACATTCCCGCGTTCATCGCCTCTCGTAAACTAACAAACATAAAACCCTACACTGAAAATCCCCCAATTCAATCGAATCCCTCCGAACCTTAGTCGAGAAGCCTATTCGATACCTTAATTCAATCAAATATGCAGCAAGCCAATCAATCAGATTCAGAAACCGAAGCTACGGGCTCCGATATGATCCCACGGAGAAAAGGGAATATCGGTTCAGAGAATATGACAGAGTACGAGAAACAGAGAATGAAAAGAATTGAAGAGAACAAGGCGAGAATGAGAGCAATGGGTTTAGACAAAATGGCGTCTTCGTTTATGGGTTCGGTTCCTGTTTCTCGAAACGCGAACAAAAAGGGCAAACAGAAGGTGGGTTTGGAGGACGACGAGGAGTATAAGCCACCTGTTGAGGATGACGAATTAAGCTCTGCAAGTGAATCAGATGGTGACGATTACGATGATGAATTGCACATGTCTCGAACGAAGGTAAGAACACGAATTAGAAGCGAATAAATCAAGTATGAAACTCAGTTGGTTTTCAAAGGGCACAGTTTGACTCATCAAAAGTGAAACTTTGGTTTTTTTTTTTTTTTTTTTGGGTTCAAAATATAGTGTTTTGATTCTAAAAAGACATTAGAAGTATTCCAAATAGATATAAGATAAAACCGTGTGTTAAATTCGATGAAAATCAAAAGTGTTCGATAATTCACTTCTCCAAAGAAGCCAAACTGTGTTACGACATTGTACCCTTACATTCCAACAAACAATTTTCACACTATCTATCAGTTTAAACATACAATATGTTTATCTTGTTTCAGCCAAAGGTGAAAAATTCAACACCTAGCAAGAAAATTTCAAAGCTTTCAGAAAACTCGGATTTTGTTGGTGATGATGATGATGACGCCTTGATGAAGGTAAGTTATAATTAACTGCATGAATTTGTGGTTTTCATTTGACCTAAAGATTTCAATCATATTTTTAACACTATGGATACAGGCCATTGCTCTTTCTCTACAAGATTCACCAGGTTTTTTGGATGTAACGAGCAAAACGCCTCCTCAAAAATCTGATTCAAAGGTATCACATGTTGAAAAAAAGCAGATTGTACGTAAAGATGATTCTGGAAATCGGAAGAGGAAAAACTGGGTATGTTTGACTTTTTTTTTTGTACTTTAAGTAAAAGGTTTGACTAAAATATGCAACACTGTGACCTCAATCAAATGCTTATTTAGGCAACAATGTTTTCTTTTATTTACCAATTTATGCAATAATGTTGCATTTTCTTTTACCAATTTATAGTTTTATACAACTAGCACTGGTCATGAAAACCACATTTCAAGTGGTTAAACCATAAAATGTTGCATCTTTTTGTCTTAAAATGTTAAAACATTGTTGCATTAACATGTATTTTACCTTACTTGAAATACCCTTTAATGAATGTCAATAGAGGAATACCACTAGTGGAATCAACACCATTGATTTGTTCTTACTGATGGTGAAGGGCATATAAGTAATTTTAACCTAACTTCTGCATTTTGATTTTTGTGGGTATTATGGAAAGCAGTTTGCAAGTCGAGTTCAAATGACAGAGGATGAATTGATACTACACTTCTTTCAGTTTGATGGTAATTTCACAAGCTATATTTTTTTTTTCTTTTATGTTTTCATTTATTTTTAAAGGAATTGGAATATACATAAATTGAAATCACACGTATAATTGGCAGAAAATGGAATGGAATTGAAATGGAATGAAATTCAATTCCATTCCTATGCCTATTTCGGTTTTGGTTTATAAGTCTGTAAGATGATTTGGAATGCGAGTAGATGATAAATGACAAAATTACCCTTTTTTTTTTTTCGGTTTTTGCAGAAGTAGGCAAAGGGGGGATAGGTGTTAGGGATTTGAGAAGAGTAGCAGCTTCACATGATTTTACATGGACAGATGAAGAGATGGGGGATATGATTCAATTCTTTGATAGCAATGGAGATGGAAAGGTTAGCAAGTAGTCTTAATTTATTTATTTTATTCACCATAATATTTTTTTATTAAATTCTTGAAGATTTAAAAAACTTTACTAATTTGAAAATACGTATGTTTGGCAGCTAAGCCTTGAGGATTTCACTAAGATTGTTGAGCGATGTCACATGAGACAAGGTCTGAAAATACACAATTGGCATCATGAGAAAATAAGGTGTTGTGATTTTTTTTAAATGATGTCGTTATTTAATTTTATAAAATCTTGTTTGTGTGTGTGTGTAATGTAACATTTTAATTTAGTTGGTGGTTGTTTATCTATATTTTTGCTGGGATAAGTAACATCTGATGTAAAAAAAAAAACTAAATTGATGTAATATTTTTCTAGTTTAGTTGTTGGTTGTTAAATTATAATATTGGTGTGTTGTTGTGGTGACTTGTGACATTGTTTTTCTTAGTAATGGATATTTTAGTAGGAATTGTGTAGTAGTTATTTTATGAAATAAGGGTGTTAAAGTTGAATGTTTGGATTATAAGTAACTTGTTTTTAAAAGAAAACTATACTTGTAAGCTTCAACAATTGTCATTTAAATGTTATATTATTATAAAGATAGTTACAAAATACCGAAATGGTATATAGTCTTCATCTAGAAAAGTACAAAAAATTAAACGAAAAACATAGATAAATAAATAATTGGGGATCGAAGGGTCTAATTTGGCATGAGTCCGATTGTAAGGATCGCTTTGGAATTGAATTCGAAGGGTCTAATTTGGTAATTTGGGTTGCAATTCTGTCGGGTTCTATTGAACAATGAATGGGTCCTTTCCTATTCTTTTGAATTTATTTTTGGGAAATATGAATGCTATGTATCTACTATATACATAAAGACACAAATGACTAAATTTATGCCAATATGGCAATATCTTTGCGAATTACTACCATACATCATCATTCCTATTGAATAATTTATATTTTAATGAATTTACTAGTTCATATGAATTGTGAAAGATATATGCTTCTCTTCGATTTTTTAGAAGGTATTCAAAAAGCAATTTGCAATTTGCAACAAAGATATATTATAAAAACTAAACATTTTGTTAAAATAACCTACTATTTTCATGTGATAATATATTAATCCTTTTATATAAAAAATGCGCTTTACAGTTTACACCTAGAAGTGTTTATTGTCGAGATTAGGTGGCTTTTAGTTTTTCTTGATAACCCATAAAAGAAAAGGCTTAGAAACGTTGAGGGGCGTTTATGCTAAAACTTTAAAGATCAGGGTTATTTTTACGAACAGTCATAATATTATTATCCTCCTGGTTAGAGTCGAACATCCGGTGGATTCAGGAACCAGAGTGTGCAAATGGCGCTGACGCATGGATTGCCAATATTATTTACACTTTCACCCACTATTCCTTCCAATAAACATCTCAATTCTCTACGATTGCGTTCTTCAAAAATTAGGGCAGATATCTCACTCGAAGTCGAAGAACACCCATTTCCTTTTCCCCCAAACGCCATGCGAAGGAAGCTTGATTCCAGGTGGTTGGGTGGATTCAGTCTAGGAATTGATCTTGGGTTGTCTCGTACCGGTCTTGCCATAAGCAAAGGATTCTCAGTTCGCCCCCTCAAGGTTTCTTCCTCGCATCTCCATCTCCATTAATGGTCTTTTCAATCTTCATTTAATACCTAATTTCAATTTGTATAACCAATTCGCAAAATCTCAATGGGTTCTTAGGTTTTTGATTTGGATTTTATCACGTGTGTGTCTACTCTAGGTTCTGGAATTAAGGGGCCAAAAGCTTGAGAAGGGTCTGCTTGAAATTGCTCAAGAACAGGTATGTTCTTGGTTATTGAAATTCTACCCTTTAGATTCTAAAAATTAAAAATCAAAAACTGATCCATGTATATTTAATTTTGTACCTTCAAACTAGTGTGATTTGAATAGACCATATGTTTTTTCTGTTTGAACCAAAACAAGTTAAACATCATTGTAATTTGACATTCAAAAGTCAAATATTCAATAGAGGATAACACACATCATGTTCATACTAGAAAAATATCTCCATATTTTTGAAATAAGTGTAGTAATATACATATCCTCTTGCCATCAACATTCTTCATTTTGTAGTACTTGTAATATCTCCCTGAAGCTCATGTTTGACTTAAATCGGTCAAATTTTGACTTCTTTGACCTTGGATTTTGACAAGAATATAATTATAATAGGAGGTAGATGAGTTTATTATTGGGTTGCCCGTTTCATCAGATGGAAAAGAGACGCCACAATCTAATAAAGTTCGTAGCGTTGCAGGTAGGATAGCCATTTGGGCTGCAGAGAGGTATAACCTTTTATCTATGTACCTTATAAAAAAATACAACAAAATTTACATTTTAGGATATTATTTTGTGGGAAATTTTCAGAAAAACCACTACATTTACATCATTTTATGTAACAAACCATTTCTGTAGGGGTTGGAGAGTATACTTACAAGACGAACATGGCACATCTACAGATGCAATGAACCGGATGATTAACCTGTATGTGAAAATGCCAACACCTAATTATTCATAATCACTACTCTATGCTTTTAATTTTACACAAAGATAATAATTATAATTATAATTATAATTATCTCTTAGGGGCCTCAACAAATCGGATCGCAAACAAAGTCTTGATGCTTATGCAGCCATGGTAAGTGTCTATTTTCCTTAATTTAAAAATAATATAGTAAAAAATAACATTTTGACATATAAATGTTTTTTTTGAATATATGAATTTATGTTAGATGGTGTTGGAGAGGTATTTCTCGGAATCAGGGGAGAGGGTAGAGTTGGTTTTGCCAAAGCAATTGGAGCTCCAAGAGAAGCTTCGAAAAGGTCCACAATCAGAATCAGATGATGACGTGGACTTCTTCTAAGATGACATAACCATTCTTCACTTCTACAATGAAAATATGAAATGGACCAAAACCCATGATTCCTTGTTGGGGTGCACATTGTGTTTTACAATGGAATTTGACCCAAGTTCAAATTTCACAGGCTTCAGTCTCAATCCCAACGTTGAGTTGTACATTGTGCTTTGGGAATTTTCAGAGGCATAGGCTGAAAGAATGTATGCTTGGCCTTGAATGGTGTATTAGGTGGAACAAATATGAAAATTTGTTACTATTTTAGTGAAATGATGTTTTTTTTTTTAATTTTAGAAACGATGAATCAACGTTATTGATTCCACATTGGAATATATTTTTATTGAAGTTCTACATCCCTTTTATTATTTGATTGTGGAAAAGTTTAACGTTATAGATTTTATTAACGAATTATTGACCAAAGTTAATTTCTTAAACATAAAATAATTTTCAATAATATTTAATATTGATTTCGTTTCGAGCATATTCATGAGATAACTTTAACGACGTAGCTTTTAATGTTAAGTATGAATTTTTGAAGTTGTATAATTTTTTATGAACATATATTAGTAGAGTTTAAACAAAAGGTCGAGAATAGTTTATAAATCACTCACAAGTTAGAGGGGATAAAATGAAAATTGACTAAATGTTAGGGATGAAAGAATGGCGCCACACAGTTCTAAAGAATGGCACACATATCAAAATCAAATCATCGAATTTTGACACGTATTTTTATGTATCGTAGTCATTATTCATCAAAAATCCACCCCCATTCAATTATATTATGATTTATAAAACCTCAGTTTAATTTGTTCTATATTTTCTTCAAAAGTTCATCTTATATCACTAATGATGATAGTCAAGATATAATCCTCTTATTCGAGTGCATTGTGTACAATAATCACATGATGAACCTCAATTTCAAAGCCACTTAGTTCTGGCTTCGGTCCACCAAATTTTCAAATGTCATTTTACCGAATCATATTTGTCTGGTAAGAAATATTAATGCTTCTCAATTTTCAGAGTGTTCAACTCAACCGCTTGTAGTGTAGGAGAAACCACGCATTTGCAAAAACACTAGGCAGGCGTTGATGAATAATCGACAACACAAAATGACATATTTTTGTATAGCTCATGGTTCAACATCAACAAAGATGAAACAACTAACACTGATCAATAAAAAGTCAAATTTTATGATTGTCTAGGTGAATATTATTATTATATATATCCTCACAACATACTAAAGCGACGAGGAATATCCAAACACAATGTTTCATGTCGTTTCTAAGTTTGTTATGTGTTATATATGAACCAATTCAACATAGATGTGAAAGTAGACTGAATGGAGAAGACAAAAAAGTAAGAGTGTAGATTTATATCTTTCTGTGAACGAAAAAATCGGGCTCTAAGCTCTTATTTTTTTGTCTTCTTCGTTTAACCTGCTTTTAGGATTTGTTCATAACACCCAATAAACTTAGAAATGACATGACTCATTTTATTCCAATGATTTTAAAGTGTTTGAATACTCCCCATCTCTTGAGTAGTGTTGCGATATATCATAATAGTCTCATATAAAGTTTGATCTATGTTGATTAGTACCAATTGTTGTGTCTTTGCTTATGTTGAGCCATAAGATATACACCGATATGTCATCTTGTGTCATCCATTGATTATTCCTCTTTGTCTGTTTGGTGTTTTTATTATTGCGTGGTTACTCCTGCACTAAATGCGGACGAGTTGAAAACTCTAGAAATCAAGAAACCTTAATATTTTTTAGCGAAAGGTATGATTAAGATACAATGGCATTTAAAATTTGGCGGACCAAAGTCGAAACTAGGAGGCATATGAAAATTGGTACATTTAGAATCATTTGAAAGAGATTTTATATTATATTTGTTAGCCTAATAGTAACATTTTGGGTTTTATTTTCTATTGAGTATTATATTGGCCCACTAGCTAGTCTATCAATTATATATTTTCCTTTCTATTGTATTTGTATTTTTTATTTAATAATAATATGAAATACTAACTGTTTTATATCTTTTACTTGTTAGTTTACAACATTGATATAAAATCATAAAGATAATTACAAAAACTAATGTGAGATACATACTGTGAAAGATCATTGATATTGTACTGTGTGAATGGTTTTATGGAGTTGATGAGACTAAATATCGAGTAAATAGTGTCATGTTATGACACTTATTTTACGGATTCTAAATTTGCAGGAATTTGAAGAGAGGATTCCTTCAATAACAATGGGATTACATATGTACATTCCATATTTAACGGATTTTATCATTTATGTTGGTAGGCCAAACAATTCAAGCTACTTTTATTAAAAAAGGAATGTCCTGTATTTATAAAAGACAAAACAATGCGATATAGCTTTTTTTTATTGATTATTTTAATTCAATTTATGAAAAAAAATTTACTTTTTTTCCTTTCATTTTTTTTTAATAAAAAATACTAGATAGTCTACTCAGTAGTCAGAACATAATGTTTACGTGTGTTTTTTTGTTTGCAATTCTTCAAACCATAAACTTTAACTCAAAAGTAAAGTATAGATTTTATTAAAACCATCTCCAACCCAACTTTATTTCTTTTCTCAAGAATGAAGTAAAAAATAGGGTAAATAGTATTTCATCTGCAATCCTATTTTATGTTTTACCTCATTTTTGCCCCCAAAAAGTATATTCTTAATATATTCTATTATTCCAATTTACATAAATTATCAAACATATCCCTCAACTAATTTAGTTTTAACAAATATATAATTTATATTTTTTTCATTACATTAATATTAAATACAAAAGATTATATTTATAATACTTATAAATAAATATTATGCATGCATTTATTCAAAAATATTATACATACACACTTTTAAATAAATATTATACATATATTTATATAAATATGAGACATACTCACTTTTAATTATAATTTGTAAAATAAGTTATCGTTTTTTAAAATTTCAATATGTATTTAAATTTTTATATGAATTTGATGAACAAAAAACAAACTTTATATTTATAATTAATTAATATAATTTAATATATAACAAAATATTATAAGTATTAAATATTATATTTAAATTATAATTCGTAGGCAAAAATGAACTAGAAATGTATAAATATATAAACAGATGGACTAAAACCGACAACGCAAAGTTCATCCCCATTTTGAAAGAAATGAATAGTATAACACCATATTTGATGTAATACTATTCAAAATGGGAGAATAAATTGATATGAGTTGGAGAAAAATTAGAGAATAAATGGGAGAGAAAATGGAAAATAAGGATTGGTTGGAGATAGGAGGGTTTGAAAACTACTTAAATATTTGAAGGGTGTTTTTGTCCTTTAGCATAATTAAATATTTGAAGGGCATTTTGGTCCATCACATCAGAAATTCAATTTCATTTGGATTCCAATTCCCTCAAATTTCAATTCTTTTGATACCCTTCTAAAAAGCCCTTAATTTCACAAGTACAATTTTGAAAGACAATGTCACAACATTATAAAATATGTACACATAATTCCCTCCCCTATATAAAATAATTTCAAAATCAAAATAACAAGACTCACTTGTATATCTACATTGCTAACCCTCAACTACAAACAAACCCCCCAAACTAAAACCATCAAAAAAAAACATTAAAACATCAAACAACACAAATTTGAACCATACTCTCCCCCAAAAATTGCCTTGATGAAAAACATATCAAAATCATCATCATACGCAGATTTAAAATGCAAAAAAAAAAAAAAAAAAAAAAAAAAAAAAAAAAAAAAACCCTAAAACATATATAACTACCGAAAAAGCCTTGGCACCGATCTTTTTGGAATCTTTCCTTCGAGTTTTAACCTTCTGTACGCTTCCCGAATGTGACACGGCCTTATTGGTCCTGTCTCCTTTCTCTCTGTCATCACTACCCTCGCTGCAATATCACAATTTAAAATTCCTTCATTTTTTAATTAACGATGACAAGGGCAATCACGTCATTTGCTCAAAAAATTGTAACTTTTGTCAAATTGACATCAGTCTTAGTCTTAGTCCTTGTCCAATGCATGTCAAACGCAGTATAATGTGTACCTGTCTCAACAAGTTCACCAACAAAAATCTTTGCTATCCCGGATACGACAATAGTCATTGGCATTGAAATCTTGGCACTTCCAGTAATGCTGGCTAATAACTACATAAAGAAGGATTATTAGGCTTCATTCGTTCATATACTCATTTTTTCAATTAGAGAGAAAAAGAGAAATACCCTTTTCATGTTTGATTTCTGAAATCCAGATCTTCTGAAAGATTCATACCTACTCATTTGTTCCTCAGTGAACTGAGATAATATTGATCTAGAACATGTAGATAAAATTATATTATTATTTCTGATGTTAAAAGTGATTTTGAAGAGCATATGTAAACTTACTGCATCTTGGCCATTTTGTCTGGGTCTCCTGTAGATGGGAATTTTCCAAGTTCAACATCCATGTTTTCCTCTTCTTCTTCCTCATCATCTTCTTTGTTCTTCTGATTGGTTGTGATGGCTGCTGAAGTTGAGGCCAATCTGGCTCTTGATTTTGGTTGGTTTAAAGGATGAATACTGTTTTCCAAATCATCTCTTTGGGAGTTGATATTTGGTTTTGATGATAGAGTTTGAGCCATAATCTCATCATGAGTGTCGGGGGAATCAGGAAGGGATTCATCGAGTTCCTCGAATGCTACTTCAAATGGATCTTTTGATTGCTTCATGAGACCTTGTAGAACAAAATTTAGGCAAAAACGTTTTGTTTTTGCAATCAGAGATGTTTCTGTGATGCTAACAGTCAAGATTCATAGCTTCAAAATCATTTTAGTAAGATTTAAGTAATGTGAAAGTACTGACCAAATATATAATCGAGAGTTCCTTGCTTTTTTTCCCTATCGAAAACGATGAAACCTACAATGGCGATTGATAAAGTTTCCACCAGCTCTCTTTATCCTCACTCGCGACCCAAAATCCAAAAACCTATAATATGCGTTGATAATTAAGCGTGATAGAACCAGTGATTCTTGATAGATTCCATTTCCACATTGAAATAAGAGTATCATCCAACGCAAAATGCATGGTATTTCCAAATAAGATGTGCGACGTTTACCTTCATTCGATTCTGACGCTTTCAGAGTGCGACTTTCAAGAATTTCAAACGCACAAATAGGGTCGCCGGCGCCAAAGCCCTTCCAGCTCTGGCAGCGTCTAGGGATGGAATAACAAAACTGAAAATCGAATTGAATGTTTATAAGAAACGGAGTTACAAAAGTAGCCCCTCAATTATACATGAACATGCAGTTTTAGTCCAATACGAGTCGTTGATTTCGCCTCTTCTAGATGCACACGGATTCGTTTTGGGTCTAATAAGAATTTTTTACCAAATTCGTCCCTCGATTATACATTTTGTTGTCTAGGGTCATTTATTTTACATTTTGAATAATATGCCCATCAAGTGATCAAAGTACTTCGTTTCCACAAAATCGGCCATAACCAGGGTTGTTATCAAATCCATGAAAGCGCTTTTCGATATAATAATTTTGAATTATAACTATATAATTTTTCATTTTTTTTATACTAAGTTTAATATTTTCTTTCAATTTTGAAACTATGTTTTTTGTTCCAAATCGAACATCATTTATCAAATTTTGTTCAATTTTTACCATTTTCTATTTGAACGGTATACATATATTTTTTTGTTACATTTTAAGCTGTATAAATATATTTTTTTTAAATTTTAAAACCACATTTTTATTTAAGTACAAGGGTATTTTTTTTACATTCAAAACATAATGTATAAATATGCATTAGTTATATCATGGGAATCAAACTAACCATAAGCTTCTAATAAGATGTAAAAATTTCAGGGGTTGCAAACTTGATATCCGGGTTTTGATCGACTACATGCCTCCACATCTCAAAACTCATTTTAAAGTTGCGTATTTAATATAAAATACAATTTTTTTTATATAACTAATAAATATTTATACATAAATTTATGGTTTAAATGTAAAAAAACCTTGTATTTATACAAAATTATGGTTTTTAATTGAAAAAAACTATGGTTTAAATGTATTAAAAAAATATTTATAGGGTTTCAAATAGAAAATTATCAACATTGAACAAAATTGTAAAAAATGATGTTCGATTTGAAACAAAAAAATATAGTGTTAAAATTGAAAAAAAAATATTAAACTTAGTGTAAAAAAAAAGTGAAAACTTGGTGTTTTTTGTGGAAAAAAATCAATTTTGACACGTCAGTATTTCATGATACGTCATCAAAACTGACAAGTCATCATGCCACGTCAACATGTAACATGGTTGACTGGTCAACCGGTCAGAATTATAACAAATTGGAAAATACAATGTCAAATTTGAGACAAAAAAAAACACAGTATCAAATTAGAATTTTAATATAAACTGAATGTCTTTTATACTATTTACCCTTAAATTTATCACATAACTTATCTTTTGGTGTAGCTACATTTTTCATATACTAAAATTTAAATTTACATGACCATGGTGTTTAAATTATGTGACGGACATCATAAAACATATAATAATTGTCCTATGTATTGTGTTATCGTACATGTTTTTTTAATAGAAAATTAGTATTTAGTAAGTTTTTGGTATCTTGGATAGGGATGTATCAAAATATTGATATGTTTTTTGGTAACGTTATTATGATGCGAAGTGGAATGACTTTAACTTGTGATGTTTATTAACATGATTTTCATAATATGTTTGTATGAATGTTCAATCAATAAATTAAAATTTTACTATTTCAATAATTTATATAATATATGTTTACATATAACTTAATATAACTTAAAAAACAAAGTAAATTTTAAACATAACAGACAAAAGGGTAATTCTATCATTTTACATGAATTCTAATTCTATTTCCTGCGAACCAAACATAATCTGGAATTAATTCCAATTCCATTTCGTGCCAACCAAACAACATATGGAATTGGATTCAAATTCCTGACAGATTACTTTTCCAATTCCAATTCAAATTCCTTCAGCAACATTCTGCGAACCAAACAGCACCTAATGAGCTCCTTTTTGGCACACCTCTTCTTACTAGATCCATATACAACATGTTATTATGAAATTAATCACTTTAAGAGTATCATGTTATGTTAAAGGTCAATTCATCTAAGATACAAAAATATTATAACTAAGTTCGATGGAAAGGATCATAGTTGTTATCATTTCTTTTTCATTGTAGGCGATAAGGTATCACCTTTGACTATTGACTTCGAAGTGGATTTTGTCCTCTTGTTTCACCTATAAAGGACACAACAAATTTACGATTTTTATAATTTTTTTTCATGGGATTTGACAAAAAAAATTCTTTGAACAGGCAGTGATGCCGAAAGGATTGTACCTTCATGAGGAAGAGGTGTTGAGATTATGGAAGAAGGTGTTAATTCACAATAATGTTCCAAAGAAGGCTACAAGGAAGATCCAAATGGGGATCTTAGCCGATGAAGTCCCTAAGTTTAGAGCATAGTTTCATCTAATTTTAAATTGTTGGGCGGAAGCGTAAAATTATTTTAATTGTTCAGGTTTGTTAATATAGTTATAGAAGTTGTTTCAACTTAAAAGTTTATGTCTATGTGCTTGTTCTACGAAGATATGTGAAAAAATTGTTTGATGTAGCTTTTAACTAAGTAATATTTTTTCTAAAAAACATGTGATAAATGGTTTGTTTGGTTTTTGTAATCACTTTTGACATGACTGGAGGTAATGATCATCGAATATTTTGAGATTTAACAATGAAATGGTTTTGATTATTTTATAATTATAGATTTTTCATGTATTTAACTTTCATTTAATATATATATATATATATATATATATATATATATATATATATATATATATATATATATATATATATATATATATATATATAATTTTAGAAGATAACGATAGGCGTTCGGTACGAAGCGTTTGAGAGCTTCCAACGTTTGATAAAACACTCTGTTTTGAACAGAAAACATTGTTTGACATTACAAGCTTCTAGCGTTTAGGTTAAACAAAATGCTCCAAATCAAAATGCTACTTCATGTAGCGTTTAACAAAACGTTACAAGCTACAAGTTACCCACTACCCGCTACAAGCGACTCGCTAACAACTCATTTTGTCGAACAAGTCCGCTGTCGAATTCACAAGATTATGCACTTCTTGTAACATGGTATTTTTGTCGTTGTCAATACATTACATTTTATTCACTAGTAATTTTCTACCGTCCAAACAATATAAATTAATGAGTTATTCCATTATAATAGAGTAACCAAATATGATTATGAATAATGATCAATTTCGTTACCTTGTGATTCCATTCATTTCGTTGTTAGTTTATTCTATTCAACCAAAAACACCTAAGTTTTAGGGGTTTTAATAGAATTTTTATCGATTATCGTTTTTCTTTTGCATAATACCTTGTTAATGTTAGTTTTATCCATCATTGATGTAAATGAGATTTATAGAATACTATAGAGTTGATTTTAAGCTCCATTTGGGTTATAAGGTATGTAGTGCGTGCTCTTTATGTTACACCCGACAAACCAAGTGGCGGAGATCAACCCAAACGCAACAGAAGGGCGTCAGGGTGGCAAAAGGATTTTAAAATGGGATAAGTTTGGTTGTTTAAACTATTGATAAGTATTACGTTTTGTTTGGTTGGATAAACTTGAGTTGTTTTCCTGTTGGACTATTTAAACGATTGCATGAATGAAGTTTATTAAGTTTTAGCCAAATATTTCTCTCGTTCCTTTTTGTTTTCTTAGGGAGCCTGCACTCTCTTGAAGTAGTGCCAATCTTGTTCATTAAGCACGAAACAATTGGTGCTTTCATTGAGTTTCTCCATGGATGAAGCAGCGATCCGACTGTTATTGAAGGAGCAATCAGATAGACACACCATCCAGATCGCAACCCTCACTACCGAACTCCAGGCTACCAAGGCATTAGTTTCCAACAAATCTCTAAAGGATGCTGGATCCAGTGGTGAAAAGACACCAATATTCCCCGCTCTATGTGCCTAGATGTTCCAAAGTTCAACGGTGACGACCTTGAGTGTTGGATCTTCGCTATCAATGAGTATTTTGAACTTCACACCACTGCTCCAGATCAAAGACTATGCATCATTGAGTTCAAATCTTGAGGGTGACGTTGCAGAATGGTACATGTGACAACCCGATATTTCAACTCTTTGTAATGGCCTAATAGGTCAAGTATTGTAAACATTTTTGAGTTAATAAAATTAACTTTGATAATAAAATGTCCAAAAAGTTTCTAATTAAATTCTTCTATGTTTAAATATCATTAAACCACGATCGTACGTAAAAAGAACGCCCAAATCCGACTTCGTATATTGAAGTTATGATTTTTCCAAGTTCAGCTTAGCAACAGACAGCTAAAAACTCGAAACGGAGATCGAGCGACATTTGGCCGAAATGACCTAAATGAGAATCGAAGGTCTCGACAATGGTATTTCAACGGTAAAAAGTCTGGCAAAAACCGACGTCAGATAAAGAAGTTATGAATTTTTAAAGAAATTCCTTAATCACGTCATTTTAATAAATAAATAATAAAAATAATCTCGGAATTTGCCAACGGAATCTAAACGAAAGTTGTAGATCGTAGTCTCACCTTCGCGGGGATATAAAAAACGGAGTTCGTATGAAGGAGATATGAATTTTTGAAGTTTGATAAATAATTTATATATAATTTTTATTCAAAATTCGGTATTATCCGAAGAGGAGTCAGCCTAGGGCCGAGGTACACGCCGCGTACCCTCGTATGCCCCGCGTACTCGAGGGCACGGCCTCGGATCCACGTCGTCCTATGCGAAGCTACCCGACCCGCCGTCCCATCCGACCCGCTCCATCCGAAATACATAAACGATGACGTACGGGTACGCGCTGCGTACGCCCGTACGCCCCGCGTTCGGAGGCGGTTCAGCACCCCTATAAAAGGGATGCGAGCCTTTCCGAAAAATTTGTTCATTTTCTTCTTTTCTCTCACGATCTTGCCTCGATTTCCGTGCCCATTCAAACCCGAAGCTCTGGTCTTTTTGCTCAAGTCCCGAGAATCCCGAGAAAAATCCGTTTCGCGAGACGTAACTCTGCCCGGTTTTCGATCTCGCTATCTTCAAACTTCCAAGTGAGTTCATACCCCTTTATTCAACCTTTGAAATGCTTTTAAATGTTTTAAATACTTTATGGGGGGGGGGATACAAGTTAAACACTTATAGTTATTGCTTCGATCACGTGTGATTGCATTAATCACATGTGATTAATAACTAGGAAACCAATGATTTTATCACTGTTCAAACTGTTTTACTTCAAAATGTTTTACAAACTCTTTTACTTATCAAATGCTTTATTGTAAA